CGCTGCGGCGGCTGCGCTGGCGACGGCGGCGGCGTGCAGGGCTGCGACTCCGCCGCTCAACCGAGCGAGACCGCTTGTTGTCGCGGCTGTACTGCACAGAGAGGCGGCATTCACCAATATACTGATTGTTCAGCTCTCGAATCATCCTGTTCGCATCTGCCATATTTGCCACGTCCACAAACGCACACTGACCGCGGCGGCGGAATGCAAGAATCGGCACGGCCAACTCCAGTTTCTCACGCAACTCGTTGTCGGAGACGGCTCCCCCCGCTGGGCCAAGACCAACAAAGAGCGATGTGCGGCCGCCACCCCCTCCACTGCTGCTGTTGTGGTTGTGGTTGTTGCTGCTGTTGCTGTTATTATTGTTGGCGTGTTTGTTGGAGCCTGCGTTGGCGGCAGGTCGCTCCTTTTCCTTGCTGCGGCTGATCTGCACAGCCATACGGGCCTCACCGATCATTTTGCCGTCGAGCTCCGCCACCAACTTATCGGCTGCCTCTGCATCCGTGACGTCCGCAAAGGCACAGCGTCCGCGAATACGCACACCAAGCACTTCCGTCACTTCCTCCAGACGCTCGCGGAGCATGTCCTCCGAGATGGTGGAGGCAGCAGGCCCAAGCCCAATAAACACCGAAGTGGTGTTGTCATGCGCTTCACCATTACCGTTCTTAGTCTCAGACATTATCGACTAACCCGTCAAGTTGACCCTTCCTAAACAGCACTTCCCCAGAGCAGCAGCAGCAGCAGAAGCGGCACACATACAAACGCACAGAACGTGCAGGGGAGGAAGGAACCAGCGAGGGAGAAGGAGGAGGCAAATACGATTGGAGCAGCGATGATGGAGAAGCACAAAGGGCTCACGTGATGGCGGAAGGGACCGCACCACAGGGGTGGGCCGCAGTAGCAGCAGCAGCAGCAGCGCGCGGCCAAAGAGGCGGCACACCAGCCCCACATGGGGTACGAAAATTAGTAAAAGCAAACGAAGGAAGCCAAAACAAAAAGGAAAAAAAAAGAGGAGTGAAGTCGATCAGCACAGTGACGCAAATCGGTTCTGTGCGCACTGGTGTACGGATGTGCGCGACGATGGCGGTGTTCCCCACACGCGGGCGCATGTCACCCCTCCCCTCCCCCCTTTTCCTCCTTCTCCTCCTCCACCGACAGACGCACTCCTTTACTTTCCGTTGTTGGTTTGTTTAAACAAAGCGAACCAAAAAAAAAAAAACACGTGCCCCCCATCATTAAGGCAACTGCCACGCAGACGGAAACTCATGCATGCGACGCGTCGGTCGGCGGCGGGGCGCAAAGCCAACAACAACAACAGCAGCAGCAGCAGCAGCAGGAGAAAGCCCCCCCCCCCAAAAAAGAAAAAAGAAAACAAAGAAACGACAACAATAACAAAGAGGGGCGGCCGCGTGGTGGGCCGGCAGGTAAATATGAAACAAGAACGGAAACGAGGAGGCACCAACCCGACAATCCTGTGAGAGGCGGCAAAGCAGAATAAAGAAGAAGGAGAAGAAAGGGGGCGGCAATAAAACGAAGTACAAGGAAACAACAATCAATCAACAAATCAATCAATGGAACATAAAAAATGTACGAAATGAGAGAGAAACGGAACACACACGCACACAGGAAAGAACCAAACACACAAAAAAGAAAACAACACCCGTGCTCCCGTGGCCCCCCGGAAGGGGTGCGCAAGCGAGTGAGGGAGGAGAGACGTATGATCGAAACAAACAAACAAACAGACAACATAAAACAAAAAAAAAGCAAAAAAAAAAACGAACGGACGGGTCAACGAACAGTTGCAGAAGAAAAATCAATATCGTGAAATAAAAAAAAAGTCATGGCCTGTAAGAGGGATATATGAAGAAGAAAAAAAACAAGAAGGGTGAATCAGCTTCACAAATGGAGTGAAACTCTAAAGTTCGGGCCTTGAGTATGTAAGGGAGAGAGTGTGTGTGGGTTTGTGTGGGTGTGTGCACGCATTTGTGAAAGGAAACAGTCGCAAACGCACATTGACAACACCACTAGTAGTAGTGGTAGTGGTAGTAGGTGAGAAGAACAGACTTAGGCAAGTGTAGCACATGAACACCTAAACGCACACATACTCACATTGTGAATACATGTATCGCAATCATGTATACAAAACCGTATGACATGTACAACCTGCATGTAAAAGGGGCACACCCATATTTATCATGTTTAGATATATATATATATATTCTTATATATACAGAAGCACCGCAAAAATGTATCTGTGTGTGCGATGCACCCAAGTTGTCTTCCGTATTCGTCCAAAACATACGCACAGATACATATGAGGAGGGACAGCAGTACATGCAGAAGCAGACATGGTTTTTTATTCTTTCCTGTCCATTCGTTTTCTGTTATCGATTTCTTTTTTTTTCTTTGTTTTCCCTCGTTTATTTCATATATACGAATACACACACGCACTTACACGCCTTACTATGCGTCTCTGCAGCTCTGCAGGCTCCCTCCACAAAGGAAGAGAGGCGGGGTGCACACATTAACCGTATGTTTGGCGTGCAGACAGCACATGAAAAAAAAGCACCAGCTTTCGTTTTCGTATTCGTTCTCTCTGCGTTTTGGGGGTAATATGACTTACTTCCCGTCGCCTTCCTTCGAATCTTCCTATCCGTGTTCATGTGTGTATGCGCCCGTGTCACCCTCCCTCCCTCCCCTGGCCCTCTCGTTTCGCAAAGGAGACGAGCAGAAGGCACGAGCCGCATGCATTATTGCTTTCCAATCGGTTTTTTTTTCTCTTGGGAATTTTTTTTTTTTGGTTCCTTCTTGGAAAATGAGGGATCGCGTCTGGGGGGGTGGGGGCGGGGAAGAAACAGAAAAACACAATGAACTCGCAACAACAACAAACACGCGAAAACAAGAAAACAACAAATGAGATAAAGGAACGTTGAGGAGGTGAGGGGGAGCAAAAAAACAAAAACAAAATGAGAAGGTGTTTGCACCTCTGAGTGTCTCTGTGTGTGTGTAGATGGATGGTAAAACAGAGTGCGGCACGTCATATATATATAGTTATATATATAGAAAGAGAGAGAGAGAGAGA